AAATCTTTGAATTAAAAACACCATATAAATATCATGGGGGGGGGAGTGTCCAGAGGTGTGAAAAATTATATCATATATATCAGATTTTTCCTGTGCATTGATCAGTTTTGCTGATTTTTTTCTTTTTTTCATAAAAAAAGATACTGGATGAGGATGGGATTGGGAGTGAGAGTATGGTTCCAGAGATCAGGCATTGAGTGCCTGTCCCATACATAGAAGATCTCCTATAGGGATGTGCTTCAGTCCCTATCATCTCTGCACAGGCTCCTCTTTGTGTACAGAGCCTAAGTTATCGCCCAGGGACCTAATCAATATTAATTCTTCTTCAGACACAGAATTTTGGAACTATTAAAGATATTGACCCTCTGGGAGTGAGAGACAGTGAGTCTTCACTCATTCTGGACCCTAGAAGGTAGGAATCCTTATCAACTGGCCCCTATCCATGGTAGGCACATTCCCAGATTCAATCCCCCAGTCCCCTGCTTCAAGATCAACAAACACTGAGGCAAAAATTGTCCCTCTTCTTTTCTTTCCCCATACTTCTGTGCCTATTTCCCTCAGCCCTATTCCATACACAGGCCCATTAATTTCAGCCTGCCCATTTGCCTGCACACTCTGGAATTCTCACATTTATTGTTAAGAAACTTCTTTCTGTCTTAGGGCTCTTCACTGCATTTCTTCACATTTTCTTAACTTAGCAGGAAGACGGCTTTCCTTCACTGGATGACCCTCTTACTCCTGACCATTAACTATGGGTATCCCCCAAGACTACACTATTCAGCCTTTTTCTAAGTGATCTCATTAGCTTTCATGTGTTCAATTATCATCTCTATGCACATGACTCTCAATCTATAAATCTACAAATATAAACCCCACTCTTTAGAGGCCCACATCACCAAATGCAAAGCAGGCATTTCTCCTCGTGTGTCTGTCCCAAAGGCATCTTAAACTCAACATATCCAAAACAGAACTCTCTCATTGTTTCTCCTTTCCCTCCCCCTTAAGCTATCACTTTTTCCTAACTTCTCTGTTTTTGTCAACAATACCACAGTATCATGGATTTAAAGCTGAAAGGGACCTTAAAGGTTGTATCCCAAACCCTCATTTTCTTTTTTTCTTCAACGTGTGGGTTCTTATTATTTCCTTTCATTTTTTTTTTGTTGTTTTTGTTAGGCAGTGGGGTGAAGTGACTTGCCCAGGGTCTCACAGCTAGTAAGTGTTATGTGTCTGAGGTCACATTTGAACTCAGGTCCTCCTGACTCCAAGGCCGGAGCTCTATCCACTGTGCCACCTAGCTGCCCCTTAAACCCTCATTTTATAGATGAGGAAACTGAGACACAGGGAGGTTAAGGATATATAGATAAGTGTGTGTGTGTGTGTGTGTGTGTGTGTGTGTGTGTGTGTGTGTATGTGTGTGGGTGTGTGTGTGTATGTGTGTGGGTGTGTGTATGTGTGTGCATATGCATATATATATGCACACACGTGTGTGTGTTTATGTGTATACACACACACACACATAGTCAAATAGCAGTTATCTGAGGCAGGATTTGAATCCAGGTTTTTCTAACTACAAGTCCAGTGCCCCCATCCACAATGCATGCCATCTCCTTTGTCTTCTAATCACCCAGGAGCCCAACCTCAGTGTTATCTTCCACAAGTCACTCTCTCTTAGTCTGCATATCCAATCAGATGTCAAATCTCATCAATTCTACATATACAACATCATTCGCATCACAACCACTACCTTCTTTCAGATCTTCATCAGTTCTCACTTGCGCTATTTCAATAGCCTCCTAATTGGTCCCCCCGCCTCCACCTCTGCCTTCTCCAATCCAGCCTCCACCCCGATGCCAAAGTGATATTCCCAAAGACCAGTCCCGAGCATGCTACTCTAACTCTAACCCTAACCCTAACCCTGCTCAAAAAGCGCCAGTAGCTCTCTCTTGCCTGTAGGATAAAGTAAAACTCCGCTGTCTTTTAAAATCATTCACAGTCTGACTTTAATCAACCTTCCACACTCACTACCCAGCTCTCCTTCACTTACTCTAGGTTCCTGCTCAATTGGACTCCTTGGTGTTCAGTGCATAGGATACCTCCTGTGTCTTTGGGTTTGCACAGGCTGCCTCCCCAGGCTGGGACTGCACACTGCTTCCTCACCTCTGTCTTTTAGGATCTCTAGCTTCCTTCAACGTTCAGTTCCTAAACTGGGCTCCATCCTGATTCCACCCCCCCATCCCTATGATTAGTGCCTTCCTGCAGGATGTTATTTTATATTTTTTTACATATTTATATTGCCTTATCTATGAACATGTTGCATCCCTTCAATTGCATGTAAGTTCCTTGAATTCAGGGACTGTTTCATTTTTGTCTTTGCTCCACCAGTCCCTCTTGAAGGGCCTGGCACATACTATGTACAACTACTAGTTCCTCAGTGCTTCTTGAATAAATGAATGGCATCACAATCATGTAATTTTAACTCATATCTACAGGTGGCTTTAAGGTCAGCAAAGCGCTTTTCTTCCAGCAGCTCTGTGAGATACAGAGTACAAGTGTTTTTATTTAGATTTTACAGGTTAGGAAATTCAAAGAGTTTAAGTGATGCCAAGGTCTTCTGACTCCAAGTGCCCCTGTAACATGTCAAAATGTCCAAATGCTAAATTGTTTGGGCATTAGCCACACTTATTCACACATATAGACACATATTGCTCTTTGGCTAGATATTTGGCAGCACTAAACAAATATCCTTATAGGAGCTGGAAAATAAGTTAGTAATCCAGACAAAGGGAGGAATTACTGACTTGAATACAATACCAAGAGAGACCACCAAGCCTGCCTCTGATGCCTACCAGCTGTGTACTCTCAGGCTCCTCATTTCTAAAACTGAAATAGTAATACTTGTAGTATCCAACTCACAGGACTGTCCTGAGACTCTAAGGACACAGCCAATAAAGAAGATTTTATTAAGTACCTATTATGTGCTAGCACTGGGATAGTCAGTAGACTCAAAAGTGAAATAGTATTTGCTCTCAGGGAACTTACATTCTACTGGGGGAGACTATTGTTGCTATCGGCAGATAAGTCAACAGAGATTTCCATTTTGCACCTTTGAAGGTTCCATACTCTGATGAATCTGTGATCTCATTCCCTCCAAGAATGCATGTCAATCATATGTGTGTGTGTTAAGAGAAAAGCAAAGTACATATCAATAAGTAGATATAAGGAGAGGAACTAGCATGTTATTTCAGGGTAAGGTAAGGTAATTCCCTCTGCTGTTTCAGGTTAGCACCTTTATGGACTTTACGATACTGAGAAACATCTCAAAACCCAGGAGTGATCCTCCACTCCTCACTCTCACCCCTTCATATTCAATATTTTGCCAAGGCCTGTGGATTTCATTTTTACATACCTCTCAAATATTCTTTTCTCCTCTCAGTGCCACCGCTCTGGTGCAGTCCCTCATCACCTCCTGCCTGGACTCTTCCAACAGCCTGCTCGTGGGTCTGCCTGCATCCAGTCTCTCGCCATTCCAATTCAGCCACAAAGTGATTTTCCCAAAGCACAGGTCCGAGGATGTTCACCCCTTCTATTCAATAAACTTTAGTGGGTCCTTTTCACCTCCAGGATCAAATACAAAATCTTGTCTGGCACTCAAAGCCTTTCATAACTAACCCCTTCTTCCCGTAAGAAAACACCTTTCCAGTCTTCTTCTTTCTTTTTTGGTGAGGCAATGGGGATTAAATGACTTACCCAGGGTCACACAGCTAGTGTCAAGCGTCTGAGATCAGATTTGAACTCCGGCTCTCCTCACCTCCGGGGCCAGTGCTCTACCCACTGAACCACCTAGCTGCCCCGTTTTCAGTCCTCTTACACCTTACCTCTTCCCACCACTTACTATTCTCTTCATCCAGTGACACTGGCTTCCTTGCTGTTGCAGAAGGAGATACTCTCATCTCCTCTGGCATTTTCTCTGGCTGTCCCCCATTCTTGGAATGTCCTCCCTCTTCATCTCTGCCTACTGGCTACCCTGGCTTATCTTAAGTCCCAACTTAGACCCGACCCAACGTCTCAATTCTCGCGCCCTTCTTTTATTTTTCATTTATCCTGTATATAGCATGTTAGTACATATTTGTTTGTCTCCCCCATTGAGCTCCTAGAGGGCGGGGACTGCTTTTTTGTCTCTCTGTATCTCCAGCGCTTCTTGGTGAATGATTAATAAATGTTTATTGACTATTATTGACTGAAAAGTAAGCGATTTGCCCAGGGTCAAAGGCCGGACTTGATGCTGGCCAGGTCTTCCCTGATTTGAGGTCAACTCTGTCCCGTCACTACTTCTCATACTTAGGAAGTGTGTGTATTTATAATATATCTCATATATTTTACATACCTGATGGGAAGCCCTTTGCAAGGTATATAGTGTGATACAATCGCCAGCGATTGTTATTCTCCCAGACTTCTTCACTCCTGGGGGAGAGAGGGAGCGGACCTATCACTGTTTCTTCATCTGAAGTATGGGATTACTGGCATTTTCCTTCATTGAAAGGATGCTGATTGTAACAAGGTTCTATGAGCACACTGGAATCCCCTGTACCATAGAAGGGGATTCCCTGAACCCGCATGATTGGGGAAATCTTAGCTATCAGCATTTCCATTTTTAGTAAAAATCTAACTGCCAATTCGATTACTTTATGAATACAAGCCAGAGAGAGAAAATGCAAAGACAAACAGAGCTGAGGAGGAAAAAGAAGCCACCTGGATCTTTGCGATGTGCAATTCTGGTTTCAGAGGTAGGAAGGCTGCGCTTCAAATCCCCCTTACAACCTTTCCTCTCCTGGAAGGGTTTTTCCTAGCGCAGCTATTTTCCTCTGCCCATTTCCCCGGGTAGCTAGCCTTCCTTGTGCTGGAGACACACTTCCCCATCCCTGGAGGGGAGTGGCCCCGGGAGCCAGCAGTGCCGAGGACTTCCCCCCTGGGCCGGGACGTGGGAGGAGCCGCGGGAGAAAGTGGAGGCGGAAGTGCCCTCTAGGAGACTCGCTCACACGCCCTGGGAGTCAGTCACTTGTCAGCGCTGACCCGCGCCTGAGACAGCGCAGCTCCTGCCCTCTAGGTGAGTGACCGAGCCGCGGGCTCTGGAGGAAGCGGCTGGGGGCCCGCTGCCCGCTGCCCGCCGCCCGCTGCCCGCTGCCGGCTGCCCGCTGCCCGCTGCGGGAGCTGAGCTACCTGGAGGACGAGCGAATGAATAGCCCTAGAGGTGGAGGAGGAAAGAGAAGAGGGAGCACGGTGGAGGAGGAGGAGGAGGAGGAGGAGGAGGAAGAGGAGGAGAGAAGCGAGCGGTGAAAGTCCCGCCGCAGTGTGGGATCCTCAGGTGCTCAGCCCCGCTCCGGCTCCAGGTTTCGGCGCAGCGAGGTAGCACCGTGCTCTCCAGAGCGCGTCGTGCCCGAGCTGGCTCTGGATAGAGCGCAGGGAACCCTGCGGGGCGAAGGGCCGACCCCCGGCCCCGGGGGAGCGGGGCGATGGCGCGATCCCTGGGAGGAGGCGTCCCCGGGTCCCGGGGGCGGAGGGGCCTCCGGGGTGAAAAGACGGAGGGGCCGGCGGCTACCGCTTGGGGAGGCTAGGTGGGAGCCTGCTGGGGAGCGGGAGCGCGGGCGGACGGGCGGGCGACGGCGGCGGCACCTTAGCCCAGCCCAGCCCTGCCTAGCCTTCCCGGAGCGGAAAGAACCTCCGGGCAAAGCCCCAGAAGCCACCCCCGCGCGGCTCCGCCAGCCGGTCAGTCTGTCAGCCCGCCCGCAGGGATTGACTCCTGGGCACTCTCTTCATTTAAACTTTTTGCTGGTTACTTTAATTGGTATTCCTCTTGGGGGGGGGGGGGTGAAGTTGTTTATTTCCTTTCCTTTGAAACACACATGCACATAAATCTCCTGTCTCCAAGAATTGCTTTTCTTTTGCAAAAGCTAAATATTTACAGTTGTGTAACTTGTTTGTGGCTCATTCCAGTTGAACCAGCAATAAATTAAAGCCCCATTAATTAATTTTTAAAATGCAAGCCAATACGTAAGCTTCTCGAGGTCAGAGGCGTTCAGTTTTGTGTCTATTCCCAGGACCTGACACACTACCTAGCATTTAATAAATGCTTTTTGCACTAGCCAGAGCTACAAATACTTTTTTTTTTTAAGTATTAGGTATTTCTTTTTAAGACTATGTCTTTGACAACAAGTGGGAAAAAAAAAAAAGGGAAAAGACCGGGAAGAAATAAGTGCTCAGGAAACAAAGTCATAGCTAAGCTGGGTTGGGCAGGTTTAGGGTGTGATCGCTCGATCTGATCCTCGGGTTCAGGCTTCCTGACTGTCAAGGCGTCTGAAACCAGCCTGCTCAGAGAGAGCCAGCTCCTGAGCCTTATTTGGCCAACAGGGCGAAGCGGGATCCTGCCTTATGGAAAGCTGCCTGGCAGACCTCTTTCATCCTGTGCCTGTTGCTTTTAGCCCTTGAGCTGTAACCTCCCGTGTTCTTAACTCTCAACCTGTCCTAGGAGATGTTTTGGTAGAGCAGAGCGTTTTTCTATTTAGGTTGTTGCTTATTTTCATTACCTTCTGGTTTTCAGTAGGAGGCTTTTTTTTTTTCCTTCTTAAAAGACAGCTGGAATTCTGGAAGTGTGGGGGATAGATACTAAGCTTCCTGTGTATGTATTGTTCCTTACCGGCTGCAAACACTTTGCAGATTGTTTTGACTTCCCAAAGAAGGGAACCCAGATACCTACAAAAATCCAACATTTTTTACATTTTTAAATTTAATTTCCTGTCTGCTTGCTATGTTAAGTTTGGGGGGAGCTGTCATATAATGGTTTTCATAATACCCTGAGAAATGCCGATAATAATAATGACGTATATATTTTAAGGTGAGCTAAAATATGGAGGTAAATACAGAAAATGAAAGTACAAGGCATGTCTTCTTTGACATTGCTGGTACAAAATGTTAAAAAATGAAGGAAGAAAAAAAGGGAAACCTCAAATTAATTAATTGTGCACATTTATGTTCACATTACATGAGTTTTCATGCAAAGAATATTAGAGGTCAGAGGAAACTGAACTAATTGCATCTATTTGTACCTATAAAATACAGGGTCAGTTTTTTAAGTGGTGGAGAAAGGTGTCAGTATGTGATTTCTGAACTGGCACTGTCACCTTTTCTTAACAATCACTGCAAAGAATTTCTTCTTTAGAAAGGGGAAAACACAAAGTTGTATGTCACTGCTTACTGCTTTTTGCACTTGGGTAATATTCTCATATGTGCATGGTAATTCTCCCAGTTATACAGGGAGGCTGCTCTTTAACCATTTAGCCATAATTCTGTATTACTTACCTGGGGAAAAAAAAGTAATCTAGGATCCTGTAATCTGTAACCTCGTTTCATCTACTCAACTTTGATCCATGGCTGGGCATCTTCCAAGATTTCCTTGTATTTTCTGCTCGTTTTTCCTTTATGGAAAACAGAAACCAGTTTGAGGTAGGCAGGCAGTTTTGGGTTTTAGGATACTCAGTGGTTCATATATGTAACTGTGATTATGAATGTGATATCATGGGTACAGAAATTTAGATCTCTAGAGGTCCTGGAAAAATATTTTAGAATTGGGTGTCAGAAATGTTGTAAATGCTTAAATTGGCCGGTAATCTTATCACTACAAGGGAAGTGACTATATATATATATATATATATATATATATATATATATATATGTATATTTATCCCTCTCATTTTTAAAAGTCTCAAAATTTTAAAAAGTCTCAAATTTAAAAAAAACAATGTGGCTTAATCCTTTCGCCTACTCCCAAATAATCATATAAATGTTCAGATTTTGTTTTTGTAGAATAAAATGCAGAATTGAGCTAATAGTGGTTAAAACAGGGACACACTTGAAAGCATATTATCTTCTAGGTTATGATTCTCCCATAATTTTCTCTATTGAGCATCTGGAATCTTACCTACAATGTTTTATAGTAATCATAAGATCATGGAACTGGCAAGGTCTTCAAGGTCATCAAGTCTGACCCCTCATCTTACTTTTTGTTGGAGGGGAGTGGCAAGGCAATCTGGGTGAAATGAATTGCTCAGGGTCACACAGCTAGTGTCAAGTGTCTGAGGTCAGATTTGAACTCAAGTCTTCCTGACTCCAAAGCCAGAGCTCTATGCACTATGCCACCTAGCTGCCCCCTCCCCCCACATTTTACAAATGAGGAAACTGAGACCTAAAGAAGTTAAGTGACTTGTCCACTTTATACACAGGGTAATAAATAGCAGAGCTTGTATTTGAAGCTACTCCTCTAGCCTTTTGGCAAATGGATTACTCTCTTAACCTTTCCAAGGGCTTGCACTCCCTCTCACTTTCTCTCTTCCCCCTCCCCTCCAAGAACCTGACCAAAATGCCACTGTAGCACAGCATTGCCTATTTGAGGGGAAAATTGATGTAGATTTTGACAGTCAGCAAAATTGTGAAAACAATAGATTGATCATATAGTGTGTTAATTGGATTTTTTTTTAATAGAAAGTACTTCGAAAGAGTTTAATATTTGAAAAGCAGGGTACTGAATCCTTCGGATTTACAGGCTGTAGCACCCCTTACATGTGTTACAGGGGAACTTAGAATTTGACTGATGTCTAACTGAAGGCCTCTTGCCAACTGTAGTCAAAAGAATGAGGTGGGTGTGTGTTAAGAGATCATCTGAAATTAGGTCTGAAATAGAATCTTGCTCTTTTTGTATATGCATTAAAAGAAGACTGCAAAACACTTTCAGTTACAATTTTATAAGAGGAGCCACATGGAATAAAATTGGATTGCAGCAAGTTGTAAAAATGTTCATGTCTAGAAATATATTCTGGAGTGGAATTTTCATATTATGGAAACTGGCAGACCTGTAGTAATTACATATAAACTCTTGGATTCCGCTTCTTAGATGGAAACTTATGAGAGTTTAATATAGCTCCCATTTCACACACACACACACACACACACACACACACACACACACACACTCCTGAACATTATGATGTTGTTTTTAAATAGACTCCTTAAAGATGACTTAGGTTTTTCAATAAGCTGTTTAATTAGTTCTTTAATTATCCTTCACAGGTGCTTTTATTACCTGAAAGTAGACTTTGAACCGCAAGAACCATGAGCAACTACAGCATATCCTTGGTTGGCCCAGCTCCTTGGGGCTTTCGACTTCAAGGCGGCAAGGACTTCAACATGCCTTTGACCATCTCTAGTGTAAGCATATTTTTACAGCTTTTAAACAGATGGTAATTGCATCATATGGTACTTAATTGGTAGAGAGAAGTCTCTCTGTAAATGAAACCATTTATTGAACATACCCACCATTCGTACTGTAGGTTTAGCAAGTTATCAGCTATCCAGAAAGAAGGATGAGGATAAGAAGTACACAGATCTTACCAAGCCATCATTTTTAGTAGTCAATTTCAATTTTTGTCCCTACAGATCTTACCTGAGGCGAAAGTGCTTCTTTACACAAAGGGAAAGATACTGGGCTGAAAACTGAGTTTTGCCCCCAACTTTGTCATTAATTAGTTGTATGACTTTAATGAGTTAGTCTCTGTCCCTCAGTTTTCTCATCTGTAAAATGAGTAATTGGTTGGATGAGATGTTTTGTGAGTTCCCTTTCTGCTCTTAAAATTCCATGTTAGTCACTTGGGGAATCACAGAATTTTGGAGCTGGAAAGGGACCCTATAAAGTCTGACCCTTCTCATTTTATAGATGGGGAAACAGTAGCTCATTTCACTGTAGTGTATGTCCTCTGCTCCAGGTGGAGATGATGATAAACAGTGAAATGACCAAAACTCAAACACTCTTCTGAGAATTGACTGTTTGCTTTTTCTTATAATATAGATGGTTTTTTAATGTATTTTGGTTACATATTTTTGAAAGAACATTCCATTCTAATGTTTTAGTACATACTGTGTTTTGATCTATTGTTACTCACGCCAGATAAGTTGTGTCCTATGCTTCTATTAATTGATCTGGCAAGTTGTGCAGCTTAATTGATTTTTACAGTTTAAGAATAGGTTTATATCCTCCATTCATTCAATTTTGGGGGGATGCAATCAGAGTTAAGTGACTTTCCCAGGGTCACACAGCTAATAAGTGTCTGAGATGAGATATGAGCTCAGATCATCTTGATTAGCTGCCCCTCATTCATCCATTTTTTTTAAAGATATAAAAACCATTGTAAAAATAGAAAGAAATAGAAAGGAGAATGGATTTTCAAAGGACTTGAGTTTGAATCCCCCTCTCCCAGTTCCCACCACTAGCTGTGTGACCTTGGACAACTCACTTGACTTGTTTGAATCAGTCTCTTTCATTCATAAAATGGCGATGATATCTCCACTACTTACTTTGCCCAGTTGTTTATAAACTATTAAATGTGATGTATTACTGTTTGTTTTGGTGAAAGAGCTAAATAAATCATGTTTGTATTTTTAATCAATTCTTGTCCCTTTTCCCTCGTTCATAAAGTGTTCCCAGGGAGATCAATTTGGATGTCACCTTTTCAGTTTAAATCCCTTTCAAAGTCTGATGCAATTGTGGTTAAAAAGTATCCATGTGAAAATTATTTGTTAATGATTTATGCTTGTTTTTAGTGTAGTAGCTTTTCTGCTATTGAATAGTTTTGATGAATAAAGTAAGGATACTTGAAGATGATGTCTTGTTTTTGGAAGTATTACTCTGTATTAAACACTGCACACAGTTGTTTTCATTTGTTGCTGTGATTAAGGAACTTCCTTGTTTGTGGACACTCCACTTAAGTTGGTTTCATCAATAAAACAAGCTGATTGGGTTTTGTTTTGATCTGTTAATAAGAGGAAATGTCTGTATAACATGTTGGTAGCTTGTTTTCTTGTTTGTTTTATTTTCAATGTTTTTCAGCCTCTTCGGCTGATAATTTTAAAAGTCCCTTATTGTGATCCTGATAAAACAGAACATTGTGTGCATATGTGGGTTCCCCACCCCTCTTCTCTCCTGGCAAATTAGAAATGGCTTTCCTTTTGTGGCCAGAGTGCTAATTAAAGGTTTTCGAACATGCTGATTAAAAGAGAATATGGCAACAAAGCAGCTGAGTTATTTCTGTTGTATTACAAAAGTCTCTGCAATCTCTTCTGACCCTCTCCAACATTGTGCATTGGGGCATGCAGTTCATTTTGGAATTGGGGGGAGGGGAGGGGAGAACGGAGGGAAGCAGAGAATGTGGGTTCTACTGTGCTGGGTTGTGACAGCACCTTGTAATGATTTTTAACCCTTTGTGCTTTAATTTAAATATGACCTGTGTTACTGGCCAGTAAAAATAATGTATTTATTTGTCTGATAAACAACTTTATGAATGTGTCACAAAATTGGTATGTTATGTTGCATCACTCTTATACCGTGTTACCTTATAGTGTTTGTGATGCATCAAGCTGTTAAATATTTAGTATCAGTTGTGCTAGATTAGTATGAAAAATTTCAGTGAGTACCAAATTTTCTAATTCCCAGTATCATGATATGAACTAAAATCAGAACTATCCCTTAATCCACCCAATTCAAACTCAGTTTAAATGAAAATGAACAAAAAATTTAGAGGCCTTGATACTTAGAGTCTACGTATTTGTAGGAAACACAGTAATTCTTGTTTGTTATTCCTGTTTTGTTAAATCCAAATTCACGTGGCTCTCTTTCACAAAAAAAAGGCTGTATGCTTGTCAGTCAAATCCTGATACGTGAGACTTCACAAACTTTTTTGTTGCACTAGAATTTTATTGCAGCAGATAAATGTTCTATTTTTTAGGGTTTGTAAACATTTTTCTTTTATAGAGATTTGGTTGTAGCAATACCTGCATCTTAAACTATGTCTGTTGTAAAATATTGACATTCGATATGACTTTGGACATTTTCCCCCAGTATATAACTTTTATATGTCATTTCTTGAATTCATTCTTAAGGTAAGAATGGGAAACTCTGCAGACTTTTTCTAATGAGCCCTCAGATTACTATAACAGCACGATCAAATGTTATTGTCTCCAATTTCCCATCCTTCAAACGACTGCTTGGCCGCAGGAACTTGAGGTCTGTCTTTTTATGACCCCACAGTCTTGGAATTGCCCTAAAGCCATGGAATGTGGAGATGGGTTTCATTGTAGTCGAGTAAGGTTTATGGTCTTTGCCAACATATTTTATAAGGAGAACTAGAAGACTAGTTGCAAAATCCAAAGCCACATTTTGGGGATAATTTGATATTCCACATGATGAAATTACCATAAGTATTACACATTTGAGTATACTTACTTGCTAAAAATGCAGTATACTAAGGTTGAAATATTGTGATTTGGGATTTTTTTATGATCCTGTTATGCTAGATACTTCTAGACTACCATTCTTTGGATTTATTAAAGGATCCTTTCCTGATTCTTGATCAGTTTAGTAAGAGGCAGATCAGGTTTTAGATTCTGAAGTCAAACTGACTGATTCTCTAGTCCATATGGAGAATGTCCTGTCATAAAATGAGGTCCTCCTTTGTAGGGTAAATAGTGCAAGAGGTGAACAGGTACCTTTTATGCCAAGTTTTTCCCTTCTCTCTTTTCTTTGCCAACCAACAATACACAGTTACTCTCAGTGTATTTCTTAGGGCCATATAGCTGTGTGTTGATTCGTTATAAAGTGAGCATATTACTATGGACTCATTCATTCAGCAAATAGTATTGAGCATCTCCTATGTACACTGCAAAATTGTGCATTTTCACTGGCTGTTACCCAGGCCTGGAATGTTCTCCCTCCTCGTCTCTGCCTTCTGCGTTGCCTGGCTTCCTTCGAGGTCCATCTAAAATCTCACTTTCTACAAAAAAGCCTTTCCTGATACCCCTTAATGTCAGTAGGGCTCTCCCTGTCTTCATTATCTCCAGTTGATCATCCATCTATCTAATTTGTACATAGTTATTTGCATGCTGTCTCTTCCATTGAAAAGTCAGCTCCTTGAAAGCAATGACTATCTTTGGTCTTTCTTTGTATTTCCAGCATATAGATTAATGCCTGGCACATAGCAGGTGCTCTATGAAACTTGTTGACTGTTGTAGCTTGTTGACTGACTTGTAGCACTGGCCTAAGAAGCTTGTTGTAGCTTGTTGACTGACATATAGCACAGTGCTGATACAAGAAAGTATAAGATATGTGCTCTGACCTCTAGAAACTTACAGACTAGATGGTTGTGAAGTTTTGTAGACTGTTCAGCCTTCCTCGTTTCTACCCCACATTTGCACGTCTGCTCACTCTATTCCTTATGCTTGGAATGCCCTCCCTTAACCTGTTGAATTTCTACTTATCTTTTAAGCTCAATGCAAGAACTGGGATTTATATAGTGCTTTAAGGTTTATGAAATGCTCCGTTCACATTTTCATTTGATCCTTACAACAGTCCTCTGGTGAAGTGGTGTTATCCCCATTTTATAGATGAGGAAATTGAGTCTGAGAGAGGTTAAGTGACTTGGTATGTGGTCATATGGCCAGAAAGAAGTGGAGTCAGGATTAAATACTGAGTATATCCTCACTCCTAGTCATGGCATGTGCTATGTACTATGATAAGTGTTGGTGGTACAGAAAAGAGGCAAAAGATAGTCTTACCCTTAAGGAGCTCAGCATCCAGTGGGGGAGGCAACAAATATGTTCAGACAAGCAATATACAGGATAAATAGGAAGTAATAACCAGAGGGAAGGCACTACAATTTAGAGGGTTGGGAAAGTAGGAGGTGCCATCCACGCATTTCTCCTGTTTCTGCTGTCTGGGGCCAAGATGGTAGATCAATGCTTTTTTTATCCATTCATTCCACATGAAAGCTCTTTAAATGCTTGAAGATTATGAAAGTTTGTCTTCTCCAGGATAAATATCCCTCTTTCCTTCATCAGATCTCCCTATGGTCCTTCACCCTGGTTGCCCTCGTCTGGACATTCTTCTCCTTATCAACATCCTTCCTAAAATGGAGTGCCCAGAATTGACCACAGTATTCATGAGGTGGTCTACACAGAGCAGAGCTGTCATCTCCCCGAGGTCTGGGCACTGTCTCCATTAATGCAATTTAAGATCTCATTCCCTTTCTTGGCTGCCAGTTCACATTGTTAACTCATAGTGAGCTTGCAGTTTGTTATCCCCTGGCTTTTTAACAGATGAACTAGTGTAGCCACAACTTCATCTCATACTTGTGGATTTCATTGTTTGGACTTAAGTATAA